TGGTGAAACAGCCTAAAATGGAAATAGTTTCTCCCAGTCCGGTTATGGAACAGCCTAGCATGGAAAGTAATTCAAGGGATGCTTCAATTGTCGAGCTTCAAGAAATTGTCGTTCCTCCTTCAGAAGATTCACAGACAGGTTTTATTTAATTCACAGTTTATTTGTCATCTCCCTTACCAACACGGTTATGGAACAGCCTAACATGGAAAGTGATTCAGGGGATGCTTCAGTTGCCAAGCTTCAAGAAATTGTCATCTTTCCTTCGAAAGATCCACAGACAGGTTTTATTTAATTCACAGTTTATTTATCATTTCCACAACTAGCGTGGTTATGGAACAGCCTAACAGGGAAAGTGATTCAGGGGATGCTTTGGTTGCCAAGCGTCAAGAAATTGTCGTCCCTCCTTCGAAAGATCCCCAAACAGGTTTTATTTAATTTACAGTTTATTTATCATCTCCCCTCCAATGCGATTATGGAACAGCCTAACATGGAAAGTGATTTAGGGGATGCTTCGGTTGTCGAGCTTCAAGAAAATGTCGTCCCTCCTTCAGAAGATCCGGATACAGGTTTTATTTAAATTACATTTTATTTATCATCTCCCCTAAGCAATAATTATTGGATAATAATTAATGAGTATATTATTTTTGGCTGAACCCCAAGTACACACCACAAAAAATAAGCAGACACAGGTCCTTCTTAAAAAAAAGAAATAAATTATCTTTTAAATTATTAATTAAGATAAAAAAAACTTATTACTTAATATGTAATGATTAATTTGTTACTTAACTCTGTTTTAAATGAAAGGTTTCCTTAGAATGACATTAAATAAATATTAAATAATAAGTCCTTACTCTTTTCTTTTCTTTTTTTAGGGCGAGTTCTGTCTCTCTTCTCTTATTAGTTGTGGATTTAAGGAATTGGTCATTATTTTTCGTTTTTTAGGAAAACGGAGAAATTTACTTTTATTTTAATTATAAATATTAGATATAAGTCACAAAAATTATTTCTTTTCTCATACTCTATATAAACAATGCAAATTTCCTTTGCCACTCAATTTTGGCAAATTTTAACATCGTTTTGCTAACCAAACTATAAAAAATTTCATTAAAAAAATTCAAGAATATTTCAAATTAAGAGAATAATTTCTTTTAAAAAATAATTTTTCATAGAAAAATATTTTCTAACATGCAGTTATTTTCCACCAACTAAATGTACTCTTGTATTTTTTTTCTACGTTGTTTAATTGCAATATCACTCTATGACTTTCATCTTTGATTCGTTGAAAAGAAAAGCTACAGCGAAGGTAAACTCCTGACTAGTCTGTTGGTTTAACACAAACCTCCTCAATTAATTTAATTAATTTTTTTTATAAATCTTAATTATGATCTGCTTAGTACAATCTCAAGTTTAATTTAATTTTCACTTAACCTATTTTTAGGACATTTTTTATAATAATATAATTTGAATTTTTTATTTAATTTC